TTCTTCCTTTATCTTCTTCTTGATTCGATTTTCCGTTGTTTGGTGATGTGTTTTGCTAATGTGATTTGGGGGCAATTTGTACACGAGTCTGTGTTTTTTTCCCGTCTTTTTTTGCTGGGTGAAAATTATCTCTCTTGCCTGCTACAGTAGATTTCTCTTGGCTTCTCGTGAGTTCTTATTTCCATTTCTTCTGTTCTTTAGCTGACTTCTCTGTCTTCTGTTTCAATTTTGTGTGTTGTATCATCTGCTCCCTTTTTCTCTTTATGCAAAATTGTATTTTTTCAGCTCTGAAAAATTATGCTTTAATTTGTTGACTTGTCTTCATGGTATATGTTGTTTTCAACCAGAATTACTTATGCTTTGTTTATATTCTTGTTCAATTGCTAGCTTCTTTTGTTCATGTACAGCCAAATATCACGTGTAAAAATTGTATGAAATCGCCAAAAGATGCATACTTAAATAGGTACAAATGAATTTGCCAGGAACTGGAAGCACTTGCAGACCCGATGAAGAAAGAAGTCTATGTTGTTAGTAAGAAAATCGATGCCATTAACAAGGAGTTGAAGCCGCTCGGGCAGACTTGCAAGAAGAAGGTGATAATATAATATCCATATTTACCAGCTTTTTAGTTTGAAAAAAAAAAGAGTGCATTAATAGACAAACTTTACATGATCTTTTGAGTTTCTGTAGCTTTATCATTTTTTGAATTTATGTAGCTTTAATTTGTTATTACAGGAACGAGAGTACAACGAAGCACTTGAAGCTTTCAATGCAAAGAACAAAGAGAAAGTTCAACTAATTACTAGATTGATGGAGGTGGGTATAAACTGATTTTGGTAGTCTATTTAAATTCAGTGTCATTTGGCTTTTCTATTAATGAAGGATTAATCCCAAAATATACGAATATAATATAATGTAGTTAGCTAACCATACATTTCATAGTATAAATGTACACTTTGGTTAATAAAGTATGAGGGGTCCACCTGCCTAACAATTATGTTGCCTCTTATATGAATTTACGGTCCACCTGTAGGCTATTTCACATAAGAATTTATGGTTTAAGTTTAGCTTAATTATGCAGAAACTAAATTTTGGTTTCAAATCACTATCGACATACGTTCCATTCTTACAAACTAAGTTTCTGCCACTTTTAGGGGCTGGTCCGAAGTAAAAGGCTTTTGGAATTTGGCTTAACATAAACTCAATTCCATTGTTACTAATATTATTGTTATGTATAATACTTTGTGCAATTTTTCTTGCTTATCATAATTGTTTCGTATACGGCAATTATATGCATGCAGCTGGTGAGCGAAAGTGAGAGGTTGAGGCTGGGGAAATTGGAAGAGCTGAGCAAGAACTTAGAGCCGAAGAGCATAACTTAACATTGCCTTTTGACATATTTCGATTTGTATCGTGTGATGTATCTGAGAGAAAAGGTTAACTTTTATTTACATATTTGTTTCTTTCTTTTTTCTTCCTTTTTTTTTTTTTTTTTAATTGTGGTTGTACTCTTCATGGTTATTGTGTTTGCTGCTGAATTAGCTATTGATGGAAGGATTTCTAGTTCTAGGAAGAGGAATTTTATCTCCTTGGAAACAGGTTTGTAATTAAATTAGGCCCCAAACTAATGTATTCTTGTGTTTCATTTCAGATTTCACTCTGATCAGTCGGCTTTGTAATTAGTGGAGTCATGAAGCCACCTTCTCCTTTTCTCCTTGTAGGAAGATTTAACCGCCCACACTAGGCCCTTAGATAACATGCACATACATACACGTGTGGGTTTGTATTTTTGACAGTATGTCATACTCTGTGTGGTAAGTAGAAAATTATTTTCTTGTATTAGTCCTGAAGTCTTTATCTGTTAATAATGTACTACATTTAGAGTTGCTTAACGAAACGAGCTACTCATGAGGTCGGCTCGTTAAGGCTCGATCGACTCGTTTGATAAACGAGCTAAATTCGAGTTTGGTCTCGATTTGTTAACGAGCTGGGCTTGGCTCAGCTCCTAAGGCTCGACAAAAGAACTTTTATATAATTTTCTTAGTATGGCTCGAACTTAGCTTGTTAGTAATGATAAATAAGCCTAGTTAAGTTTGAGCCCCTGAGCTCGAGCCCTTTACGAGTCGAGCTGACTTAACTCGTTAAGTAAACGAAGCACAAATTGAGTTCGAATGCAACTCATTTATAGCACTAACCACATTAGAGCTTTTCTTCAAGCTAACTTATGTGGCTGCAGAGGAGGAGGGCTCATATGATTCTTTTGAACAACACAACACTACAACCATCGATTATAAGTCTATTTTAGTTTTAATTTTTTTTTTTCTCTCTTTCTAGAGCCATAAGTTCCATTTAGTTGGAGATTGATTCCTTGGTTTCGGCTGGCATTTTAAGCTCTTGATTGCCCGTTTTTCTTCCCTTTCAAGTGTTACTTTTTTGTTTCCTTGGTCCTACTCCACACGGTGCTAAGTTTTATGTTCTTTAGGTGCCTAGGTTCAGCTCAGCTTTTGCCTTTTTTGGGTTTTTTTTTTTTTTTTTTNNTTTTTTTTCTTTTAATCGGTATTTTGATCATCGGTTGTGTTTTTGTTGGTTTTAGGTCTTCGTAAGTGCACCGGTGGTTCATATTTTGCTTTTATTAAGGTTGGTTCGATTTGTGTGGTGGCTAGTAGGGTTTAGGGGGCAAATGGAGTAGGAGCTAGCTCAAAAGGTTCAAAATTTTAGGTTATCGAAAAAGAAAGGAGGAATTACGATAACAGAAGATGATGTCGAATACTACCCAAGAAGTGGTTCAATTGGAGGACATCGGACATCGGGGGTCGAAGAATCACCAGGTCGAGATAGGGCACCCAGTTATCCTTAGATTTGGAGGCAAGCAGGTTGATGGCACAACCTACTTAGGTCGCAGGACGTTGAGCTGGTCGCATGGTTTGATCGTCTAATGAGATAGTATAATGTTGACATACTACTTAAGGGATAAGAAAGAATATTATTAGGATAAGAACCACACGTGTATGAGACCACATGACCTAACAGAATCGAGCGGTTTGGGTACCGGGCAGTGCGAACTGGTAGCTCGAGTAACAAAGCAACCCAGTCGTGCAGTTTTGGGCAGCAAGGTAACATTTCTATATTAAGATGTGGGTATGATCATCCAAAGTCTACACACTCTTACATACATACAAGCTATACATATTGCTCACATCATCTTTTTCATTCACTTACTGACTTGATCGTCAGAATCTCTACGTCGGGATCACTCACGACGTTTTGCAGGTCTATTGAACCTGTCGAGAGCAGATACATGTCGTTCAAGTCCGGTCGAGGTTGTTTACATACCATATAGTTCATCACATAATTATTTTATATTTTGTAAATTATCTTCGTTTGTCTGTCGTATTGTTGATCGCATAAATTCTTTTCACTTTATCAATTAGGTTCGCCTATTTTTCGTATAGTTTATTGCAAAATTTGTTTAGGACTTTATCAATTATCTTCGCATGTCTATGTCATAGTTTATCACATAAATATTTCGCACGTTATCGATTTTCTTCGTATGTGTGTATCATAGTGTATTTCATATTTCGCACTTTTATGGGGCGAAAAGTTATTATTAACTTATTAATTGGTGGTATGAAAAACTTAACTCATATTCAGAGTGGGTGAAAATAGCAATTTCTTTTATATTTTATAGTCGATCGCACAGAAGTGGGTGAAAATAGCAATTTCTTTTATATTTTATAGTCGGTCGTACGGAATTTGAATCAACGGTCAAAACAAATCTCTCTAATCATTGTAATAATTACCTAATGTTCTAAATTTAGAGTTAGGCTTAGCATATACATTGCACACTAGTTAAAGCTTAACCTTTCAAAAATATTATTAAATGAAGTGAACAGTTAAATCTTTGTCTAGCTACATACAGATTCTCAAACTCCATAATTATGCAAACTGGAGCCATCAAAAGCTACCTTAAAGTAGAACCCAACCCAAAAACAAACCCCCACAACCACTAAAGTAATCAATAATGAGAAATAAAACCAATATAAAGATTCATAATCAATATTGTTATTAGCAGCTCAAATGTTAACTCTTTTATGTTCTTATGAACACTACTATTTATATAACATCATCATGGTTCATATTCTCTATACACTACAAAAATAGGGAAAACTCCGATTAGGGGGAGATTTTACAGTTCCGTTACGGAACCATTCCGTCGGGTTTGTAATCGTTAGATCAACTATCCACGACGATTACATGATGATCTAACGGTTACAAAAATTCGACGGAATGGATCCGTAACAGGACTGTAGCATTTCCCTCAATTAGGATTCTTACGGACAAATATTTCATGAAAAATTCTAACGGATATTCTAATAGAGGTCAAAATTATAATATTTTGTTAGAATTAAATTTTCTTTAAAATTGTAGTTGGATGTAATCCTTCCAACAACCCTTATTCCAACGGGTTGATTGTTGAAGAAATTTCGGTTGAAATTATTTTTTCGGCCGATATTTTCAACCGTTAGAAAACAATCATCGAAATTGCTAGAACTCAACATAAATTTCAAATAAAAACAATTCCGAAGTAATATTCACTTTAAAATCTGTATTAAAAAAATTCAATGAAGTTATAATATTGAAATATCTGAAATTCTATTGAATTATATTTTTGATATAACATTCGAATATATCAATTTTAAAATATAATTAACAATTGTGTTTTTATGTGTGAAGTACTGAAGTATAAAGCCAAGATTCTGGGCGCAATTGTGTAAAATGAGAATCATGGCTATGATTTATATTTATACTATATGATAATAAAATATTGACTGACCATAATTTAAACCTACACTAACCTATTCCTCAAAAACTCGCAGTATCGTCAAAGCCAAACTGATACATAATCAAACATTCATAATCAATTTACCTTTACAAAAAATATTCTCATAGAATCAAGATAATGTTCGTTGTTCTAAAATTCGGCTTAGGTGGTGCTCGGGCGCCTTCAATTTGCACAAATCAACAGAAAAAATCGGTCAGGCGGCTCTAGGTGCTCCTAGGCGGACCTGGCGGGCTCGGCGGCAAGTTTTCAGTTTTTCTTTTTAAATTTTTTAAATACTAATTACATTATTTTGTTTCTTTAAAATATATTAATTTTATTATTTGGACTTAGGTGTGTCGATTTATTATAAGTTGGGATAATTTTATTTTGTAGGTAGTTAAAATAAATAAAAAATAAAGTATTTAATATTGATTTCTAGGCCAACGCCTAGCGGGCGCCTAGTGTCTTTTAGAACACTGATAATGCTAGAATGAAAGTAAAGCGAAAGAGACCTTAGGATGTGTTTGGATACAAAGAAATTCAATTCATAGTCAAAATATAACTCAAATTTAACATTTACTAAGGCCCCGTTTGGAAGATAGCGGATTGAAGATAAATTAGCGGATTGGACTCAATTGAGAGGTTTGACCCGTCAAATCCGCTATTAAGTTTGTTTGGTAAATAGCTTATTTGATAAGCTTTTTCGGCCCAAAACCTTAATTTAGAAAAAGCTCATTAGAGGAGCTTTTTGGGATAGAGGATTCACAATCTACTATTTTAATTTGAAACTTTTTAATTTGTATTATTTATTTTACAATTTACATTGATTTATGGTGCTAATAAATAATAATATGTAATTTATATGATTAATTTATCTAGAAAAATATATAATTTATAACTTCTTAATCAAGTGTTAGTAAATTTAAAAAAAAAAATAATATATTTATAAATTACCAACTAAAGAATATTAAATGTTTTAATATATTATTATTAAAAGAATACACCCTAAATAATAAAAATGTCCTTATTGGTAATTTACAATGTCAAACAGCTATAAGCTTTCAGCTATTTACCAAACACTTATTTAAAAACCGCTAATGCAATTCGCTGGTCAAATCAGCTAATATAATCCGCTATCCGCTATCCGCTAATACTATCCGCTATCCGCTATCCGCTGATCGCCAAACAAGGCCTAATAATTCTTACACATCACAATAAATTTAATTCACTGTTTATCAATTCACACAATTTTAACTAACCATCACTTTGCATCATCTCTTCTTGACTTTTACATCAACTCAACTTAATATAAACTTAAAATCTTACTAACAACTAATTATACTACATTTTTTTAAATTAATTATGATTAAAAACAAAAATTCAATTTTAAACCGATATATTTATATACAAGCACACCCTAATTAACCCTTAATCAGGGTTTGAAACAGAAAAAGTTGTGATATTATATTGTTCCACACACGCATTCTCCACCACAAAACTTAAAATTAGTAAACTAATAAACAATGATGAAAAATGACTAAACGAGTGGTTATGGACTTAATCCTATCCTTGAGCCCCTAATAAAATTCCTTTATTTTGTTTCACAAGAATATTCTTGTATTATGAAATCTAAATGTTAAGTAGATCAACCCATCATACATTTCACATAAATATCATACTTTTGGTTTTATAAAATATGATTTTTCAGTAATTCATACATAGTACGCACGGATAAATCATACTTTTGTTTATATTAGTTTGCTAAAATACGATTTTTCTTATAAAATATGATTTTTTCAGTAATTCATACGTACGCACGGATATATCATACTTTTGTTTATATTGATTTACTAAAATACGATTTTTCAGTAATATATAAAAGTTACTCCCTCCGTTTTAAAATATTTGTCGTTTTGACTTTTTTGATTCATCTATTTTGCTATGTATCTAAACAATATATTATCTAGATACATAGCAAAATGAATGAATCAAAAAAGTCAAAACGACAAACACTTTAAAACAGAGGGAGTATTTATGTATGGATGAAACAACTACTTTTGTTATCCAAAATGAGCATGCATTAATACATCGACCAACTGATGCGGTAGGAGATAACATGAAGGCGAAATTGCATTTTATGCCCCGTAACTAGGAGTGTTTGGCAAATGTGGACAACTTCTTTTTGGTTTGGCAAAAGTGCCCTGAAACTTGTTAAAACCCGAAATTCGTGCCCAATTTGGGCACAAATTTCAAATTTTAACAAGTTACTGTCCTGTTTTGTCACACGAAAAACCGGTCATATCCGGTAATTTGTAGGTAAATGGGCACGAATTCCGGGTTTTAACAAGTTTTGGGGCACTTTTGTCAAACCAAAAAAAAAGCTGTCCACATTTGCCACACACGTATAATTACAGGGCACAAAATGCAATTTTGCCATAACATGAATATAATACATGATCTATGTATATGATGTTTAAAGATCATGAGATTTTGATATATAATTGATGACCTTATCTAAAAATGTCCAATAAATTTACCAGGGACGGATCTAGCTCATAATGAGTGGGGGCCTACTTGTTTTTAGAAAATAAATATAATACATCATAAGTATAATAGAAATAGATATTTGTAGAAATTCTTATGATTTTTCATAGCTACTCTACAATAAAGTTTTTACATTTTCTTTCGGCCTGACAATATTATAATTCACTTCAAGTATATTTGGAGTAAAAGTAGCTAATTTTATAATATTTTCACATGCACTTCTTTGTCAAGACTATTTATAAAAATATTTCTCCATAATTGGATATGAAAAATAAATTATAATGTGTAAAACGCTTTATCTAATATATCAAAGTTTTAAGAACACTACAAGTTATCAGTCACACACAAATTTAAATATGTTAATAGTCTTTTAACAAACAACATTCAATTAACTACAAGTTTAAATTTTTAAAATTTATATCAAATTTAATAAAAAAAGGACTACATTTACTTTCACCAAAATAAACAAGAACAGTGGATTTTTTTTTTCATTATCCTTTTTTTTCTCTTCTTTGTGTTTCCATTGCTTTTTTTATTAATTTAGCATTAAACTATTTTCTGAGTAGAGTATATAAGATAGTATTTTTTTCAATGTGGGTCTAGGCCCACACTGGGCCCTATAAGGCTCCGCCCCTGAAATTTACCCCTATGAATTGGTACTTTTCGCCACTTGTTGAACCAAACAATGTGGCAAATTCCGACATAGGCTTTTGACACTCAAAGGAGCTCTTAAATGGACTAAGAAGGAGGCACAAGGGGATAGTTGACAACTCAAATTGAAGAAAGCGGCGCTCGCGGCTACCGTGTACTTCATTTGGAATGCGAGAAATAGGTTGATTTTTGAAAATAATCCCAACCTCTGAGCTTGTAATCTGTAAAATCAAACTCATGTTCATCGTACAATTTTTGCGTTATATAATGTGTTTGCTGAATATGAGAGGAAAGCCCTTGAAATATAGGTTTGTCCCTTCCTTGGAAAACTTAGTGGTTGTCTTTCTGTCTTATTTTGGGACCTGAGTGAGCAACTGACTTGTGGTTGCCCTCTTAGACCTATTATCCGCGAGTGAGGAGCCGAGCTTGTGGCTGCCCACTGCGCTTTTTATGTCGTTCGTCGGTCGTTTGTACTCCAATTTTGATCTATAAATTTATATTTGATAAAAAAAAAAAAACAATGTTGGCAAACAACAATAGAATAAAAGTAGTAATACATTATATATGCATTTTATGATGTAAATTAAATACACTATCTTGATGAGATTAACATTTCTAAACAATTCCATCGCGGGAACAAAAGAATAACAAGCAAAGACATTTAATTCAAAGCAAACTAATAAAAGAGAGTGAACCAAAAAGCGTCGTACAATTAAATGAACGAAACTTATTGGAAAACATTTAAACCGACGAGACACAACACATGACACACACAATAAATTTTGATCCCTTGCCCACGGTGGACAGTGTCCACCACTTTATTTTATATGAAAAACGTATTCTGAGAATACGTTTTTCAATTAAATTAATTGAAAAACATATTCTCAGAATACGTTTTTCATATAAAACAAAGTGGTGGGCACTGCCCACCGTGGACAGGTGAGCGAGACTACACACTATACACAACATTGTAATAGTTAAAAAAAATAAAAAATAAAATTGTACCAAAAAATAAAATAAATAAATAAATCAAAACTAGTACACTAACTTCTAATAACATTTTAAATATTTTTTTGTGCATCATTAAGGGGAAAAAAAAGGAGGAAATTTAGTGAACTCTTTTTGACCACATGAAAGAACCACCCCACAGCTAGGGCTTTCACCACAAATATAAATTATATTTTCTTTTTTTCACAACAGACTCACAGTATACGGCCACACTAAATTAATCGTATTATTATATAGGGAAATGTTAAGGTATTTATTCCGTCGGGTGTTTTAACTGTTGAATACACATATAATTAGTATAAAATAGATCATTCGACTGTTAAAACACCCGACGGGATGATAGGGACCATAACATTTCCCATATATATTGTCGCACAAACATACATTAATGTACATACATGCACCATAAGTAACGTAAGCGTGTATATAAAATATTTATCTTATACAGTACAAAAAATGTACGTACATATGTACATATCCAAACCCTAGAGAGAGAGAGTATAGATACACACACTTAATTGTGTTTGTGTGTGTGAGAGAGAGAGAGATAAGACGTTTGATGCAAAACCAGAAATGGGCCGGGGACCGTCCATTTAATGTGTCCTCTACTACAAGAATTCAAAGCCTCACTTCTTTTTCTTTTCCTTCTGACCGGACACGATCCGGGTGATCTGCCGCCCCCTTTCGCCGTTGTCCCCCACAACCTTTCACAAAAACCCTTTACTCCTCTCTCTTCGCCGGCACCCTCTCTCTAGAAAAAGGTAACGAATGGACGATCAATACGGATTAATGCCGCCGGACCTCCAGCGCTACGCTGGAGGACCCGGGTTTTTCCCCCCTCCGCTGCTACAGCCGCCGCTGGCGGCGGCGGAGGCGGAGCTACACTCCGGCTGCCTTGGCCTGACACAGACACACCCGTACGACGTGCTCGCTTTCCGACCGGCGGAGGGCGGCTCGAGCGGCGGCAGGTGGCAGAAGCAGGAGACACTGACGCTGCTGGAGATAAGATCGAGGCTGGACTCCAAGTTCAAGGAGGCCAACCATAAAGGTCCTTTGTGGGATGAGGTTTCAAGGTTAGTAACACACGAATGCTTAATGCTGCCGGATGATCGAATGGTTTGCTTGCATCGATATGTGAGCGATCGTGAGAATGACTAGTTGAACGGGCTGATTCATTTTTATTTTAAATTTTTATATCAAATAATCATACCTATATATATATGTTACTAATTAAATGTCATACTTTTGTTTATATTATATTTTACGGCTAAATTTCATTTTTAGGACACTATATATGTTGGCCATTTTTTGAAAATGATTCATAAGAATGGTCAACTAAATTCTCATTTAATCAAAACTGGTACAAAAATCAAGATAGTGTACTAAATATGACAACTAAAAATTATCACTTTTAGTACACTATGTTAGTTATTGTACGAATTTTGATTAAATTGACAACTTAGTGGACCATTCTTGACCTAGATGATTGACCTTTTTCAAAAAATGGCCAACATAGTGGACCATTTTTGAAATTTTGCCTATATTTACAGTATGTCGTTTTAATTTCAGATCATACATATCAATTGAAAAAATATGGATGACTTACATTAATTTGTTGTCAGCCTCTTTAAAAAAAAATCATTACAACGAAAAATTCTATATTAATATATTTCAATGAACATTTCAACGAATATTTCAATTATATAGTTTCTGTTGGAATGATTCCAACGGAAACTCCAACATAAAAATTGTTCCATCGTAGTCAGTTCTTCATTGAAATTTGAAATAAAATATCATGATTCCATATCTTTCGAACAATTTTTTTACAGTTGGAATATACAATTTCCGTTGAAATTTTTATTTCCACTCGTATTTCAACGGTTGGAATATCTACTTTTTGAATCATCATAGTCAAACCGAAATGCCAATAGAAAAGTTGTTCTAACAGAATATTTATGTTAGAATGGAAACAATAGTATTGGAATATTCACTAGAATTGAGTTGGAATATATTTATGTTAGAATTTTTATTAAAGTTTTAATCATTTTCTTGTAGCGCCAGTGAAAATGTACGAAACAATTTATTTACTCTAAAATATGCAGGATATTGTCCGAAGAGCATGGCTACCAAAGGAGCGGGAAAAAATGCCGAGAAAAATTCGAGAATTTATACAAATACTACAAAAAGACGAAAGACGGCAAAGCCGGCCGGCAAGACAGAAAGCACTACAGGTTCTTCAGACAACTCGAAGCCCTCTACGGCCAAAACAATATCAACAACTCGTCGGCTTCAAACTCCGAAGCCCATCATCATCAACCTTTCGATAATTTCCCGAGCAACGAACCTGACACCACGACGACCTCAACCAACGACACGGAAGGACTCAAAAACCGGAAAATGGGATGGAAGGCGAAAATCGAGGAATTCGTAGACCTAAGGATGAAAGGCTTGATGGAGAAACAAGAGGCGTGGATGGAGAAGATGATGGAGATGGTCGAGCGCAAGGAGAAAGAGAGGTTGATGAGAGAGGAAGAGTGGCGAAGGCAGGACGTGGCTAGAATCGAGCGTGAGCATAGGTTTTGGGCCGGGGAACGGGCTTGGGTTGAGGCCCGGGACACGGCCCTCATGGAAGCCCTACACAAGCTCGCGGGCAAGGATTTCGTGGCTCAACAAGGTAACAATAATAATGGTTGTAATAATGGAAGTATTAATAATGGTAATGGTGTTAGTGTTAATGGTGTGAATGAGAGTTGTTTGAGGTACTTCATGGGAGATGGGTATGGAAGGATTATGGATTGAGAAAAATGAGAGTTGGGGTTAAGTTTTAGTGAAGA